CTCAATGATTAAACTAGCAGAGAGGACCAAAACAAATTAAATCAAATGATGAAAAAAAAAAATGATCTAATTTTCTCACTTTCAGACTGACCAGATGTGTATGAATATTGTCTTAAAATATGAGAAATAACTTGAAATATTTAGAAGTAAATTGCTCATGAATTCAATCAAAAAAGTCAACATTTAAATATTCATTATATTAATCTCATAGGTACAAATAATATTACAGAAATTTTTAATTTAAGAAAAAAAAAATATTTCTTAATTCTATGTTTAGGAAATTATCCCAACTTTGAAAAATCAGATACCAATATCTAAAAACCAGAATAATTTGTAAATGTTAAAGTTTTACATTTTCTTCTAAGAATCATCTCTTCCATTAAGTCTGTCTGGATAATTGAACTGTTATAAAATAATCCGGTAAAATTCTAAGCTGTATTGCCATCTCAGATTATACATTTGAAATGCTTCTACCCCACTGGGTATATTGGAAGTAGAATTAATGTCTAAAAGCTAAAAGGAATTCAGATTTGAATCCTGATACTATTCTGGTTTAAACAAGTTTCTTTTCTTTTATTTTGTTTTTAAAAGTCAATTCTATTATTTCAAAATCTATTGTACAAGTATTTTAATTTCAAGGAAACAAGTAAAAAAAAAAAAAAATCAAAATTGCATCATTTTCTTAAGTCTTACAATTGAAGAGTTCCAAATAATTTTCCCAAAACATTTACTTAACATCGGGTATGTGGGTATATCAAATAGCTCGGAAATTGAACATCCCTGTCTTGTAGTTCACTACCTGTCTTGGAATATAGATAGATAGAGTTCATTAGCCTTGATTACCAGTTTGTCAAGGGGAAGGACCATTTTCAAGGATTTCAAAACTGGGTTACATAGGACTCCTTTGTCACCTGGATGACAACCCTTTAAGTGGACAACGGCTTCATTTTTGTGATGAGAATGGATTAGCTACAGTTTGGTAGTCAGCTTCTGAGTAATGGCTGGAAGAGGATTTGGGACCTACCAATGTCATTTTTTCCTTCAGTGAGAATCATGAATATGCAGATATGTAGATGGTGTGTAATGGATAGTGGCTCAGAATGAGAATTCAGAGAGCCAAGTTCAAATTTCAGTCACGTCCATTACATTCACTCATGTGCAAATATCCTTGGGAAAAGGCATGAATCCAACTCTTCTCCTCTCAGATAAGCAGGGCAGACTGGGCAATCTAGCCTGGGTTGGCAACTAGTCTCGGAAAAGGACAACACTGAATTAAAAATTATAACAATTGTATATAATTCTTGATCCTCAGCAATGAGGATGGGAAAAAAAAACAAAACTGAATATAACAATGAATGTAACAACAGCCATACCATTAACAAAACAAAATGGAAGTGAGCAAACAACAAATGGAGATGAAGTATGGTAGAGATAAGTAAGAGAGTTTTATTTCCTGTGATTTGCAAGGTTCAGTTGTTTGCTCATTTTGGGATATAATATATATCCGTTGTGGGAGACTGAGAGTTTGTTTGGGTTATAGCACAAGCTAGTAGTCAAGATAAATATGTGAAAAAAACAACACACATATATATATGAGTATGATAGACTGATGGGAGAAATATTATCACAATGTAGTAGTTGAGAGTTAAATCTGTACCACTGCTGGTTTTTTTGGCTGTCGCAGGATCTGTCACTAAATCCAGCCAAGTTGGATCTGCCTTTGTGGATGAAAATTGCATTAGCTTTATTGTCAGTCAGTGGTTCAGAAACAGCTGCAGTAAAAACTCCATGGACTTTTCTCTGATTGATCAGGAAACATGTTTTCCGACGCTATCATTTTTTGATGGCATTCCAGAAGTAGATGCATAGAACCATATGAAATTAAAGTTGGTTTTTGTCATATGCACTATAGGATTCAGTCTATCTTGCTTTTTAACCCATAGCTGGGGGTAGAAAAGATGGAATCATACCTTTTCTAAAGGTATTTGTATGTAAGTGAATGTTACAACCTCAACTGGAAATTGAACTTGGTTTTCCAATTTCTCATTCTGAGCTGTTATCCATCACACCTCATCAGACATCTATGCTTACAGCACTTGGTATCCCCAAGTAGTCACTCATCTCGGTATTGAGATTGTTTGATTTTGGTGGTTGGTGGAAATCCAGTGTTTTGTGATATGGCTGTAAGCACACACACATATATATACATAATAATATATAAAAAATGTTTTAAGGATAATGAAAACAAAAAAGACACTTATAATGAGAATCAGAATGAGACAGTTTTTCTAAAGCACATAATGAGGAAAGAAGACCTGAAGAATCTGACACTCACATGACATATTGATGACAAGAGTGACAGAGGAAAGCAGTGAGTAGCATACCTAACAAGATTTTGTAAATGGATGGCAGAACAGGGATTAGGAGAGACAACAAAAAACAAATCTTATTAAGAGCTAAGGAGGATAGGAAGTTGTGGAGAACCATGACCGCACAAGTCCTGAAGGGACACGATACATAGAAAAAAAAAATATTTAAAACCTGTAAAACTTATAAACAAATAAAAGTTAAAGGATAAATTAAAATATTAAAAACAACTATTAAACAAAGTATTATAAATAAAATTAATTGAAAATAAAAACAAAATCAGTCCTTTAAATCCATAACAGCAAAAGATGGCTGTTCTAATATTCATAATATTAGTTAAAACAAAATATGTATAATATAATGTTATAAAATCAAAACAGCAGGTTTTTTTCTTATTTCCTACATTTAGAGAGTTCCAATTTTATCTCTGCCATTAAAGTATATTTAAAGTAGATTTATTATCTAAGAACAGGAATAAACTGAATAAAATTTTGAATAACATTATCAGAAAATAACTGTTGGGCAGTTGTAATTCATAGACTGAGATGCCATAAGACACAGACATGGTGGGAGTGTTGGGAAACACATTGTGCTTGACATGATAACAAACACATTTAGGAAGTTAAACAAATGTCGAAGGAAGTGAGGCCATTTTGTGGTGTTGATATGGCAGCAAGTGGTGAGCTGTCAGGGAATGCATTTTATCAGTTGTCAATAAACAGAGAAAGCTAAGAGTAGACAGGGAAACATGAAATTCAGAAATAGAATTTGTGAAGGTTTTGACACAAATTTTAATTTTAATTTGCAAACAGAATCCAAACAAACGAGAATTGTAAAAAACAGGATTGGGAAAAAAGAAAAGAAAGAAAAACAAAAATATGAGGAAAATCTAAGAATTAATAAGAACTTAATTTTAATATTTTTTTATAGTTGAAGAAAGAGGAGATAATCCTGTACAATATAGGAAAATCATATCTGAACACATCTTCTGCAAAGGATCAAACTAGCTGAATTAACTGTCTATGCTAGATAAGCAGTCAAGACTTAAATCACAGCTAGTCTATAAACAGTCAAGGCAAATCACATTGAGTCTATAAGCAGTCACAACTGAAATTAAAGGTAGTCAATAAGCAGTCAACTTAAAATCATAGCTAATCTATAAGTAGTCAATACTTAAATCACAGCTAGTTAATAAACACTCTATAAGCAGTCAAGAGGAATTGCAGCTAGTCAATAAACAGTCAACTTAAATCATAGCTAGTCTATAAGCAGTCAAGGCAAATCACATTGAGTCTATAAGCAGTCAAGACTTAAATCACAGCTAGTTTTTATGACTGTAGAAAGATTCCTTAATATAGTATTAGTGTTTGAACATTGTAATTTGGCACTGCCAAATCACAAACAAAGAACTGTACCAAATAACAGAAACCATATCACTTGAGGACTTTCAACAGCAACAACTCAAATAGAAAATAATGATACAATCATGATGGGGGCTTCCTTCCTAAGATTTTGTTTGAAGTAATTTAGAACATCAATATCTAGATTATGTCAGTAATTTCTCTCTGAGTCACATGGGATGTCAATTTTAGTTGTTGCTGCTGAAAGTCCTTAATTGATGATGTTTCTGATTTCTGCTACAGTTCTTTGCGATTCTGCAGCACCAGTCTATGAGGTTAAAGAAAGGACAGACCTTGCCAAGATCCACAGATTTCATTTGCTCAAAGCCATTTTAACCATTGATCTGAGGTCTTATAAACTTAACAGTTTACATATTTTCAAACAGGTCTGGCACCATGCATAATATCCGTGTGAAAGTTTCAATCTAATTAGGCTATTTAAGAACATGACAAATTTTCAGGTTAATGTTTTAGTTTTGTAGCAATTTGTGGTATTGGGAGAAACTAAACCTATGTTCATCTTCCTTATCTCCTATACTAAATTTGTTATAACTGATATGTCCCAGAAAGGTATATATTTGTTCGAAGCAGCAAAGTGGTTTTGGACTACTATAACTGGGTAGGACAATCTAGCAGGTAACCATAATGGACTGGTCCTCATTGTAGTGGTAGGCAATAAGCGAAAACAATAGGCATAGCCAATAGGTGTCCTCATCAGTCTGTATTTATGGCTGACACCAGCCAATCATATTACTGTGAGGAGGAACCCAGGTGTATGCATATTCATTACATCAATAACTGACCCAGATGATGAAATTTAAATTCATATTTCCCCCTCCTTGGAAGCCTGTCTGACTGCAACAATGCCTTACTGATTATGTTACAGAAGCTAACTAGTAGATATTTTAATCAAAAAGCTACATTATCAGATTTTTGCCTCAATTGATTGCTTTTTGTTCTCTTTTTGTAAATAAATTAATGATGTTTCCATTAATGGTTAAGATATTGACTTCTTGATAATATTAGCATGGGGAGATGATCCAAGGGTGTGGCACCATTGAGAAATGACTGATTCAAACCTTGTGATGTAAATTAGGTAGATAAAACTGTTCAGAAGCCATTGATGCTTGTGCTAGCACAAAGTTACAAGTCATCGTGACAGAGGGCTTGTGTGTACTAGATTGTTCAAATGCTGATCATGCCAGACTATGTACTAGGCTTATGGTCACATTATGCTAAAACACTCGTTCCTGTATGATCAACAAAGTTAAGCAACGTCAAGCCTGGACAATACCTAGATGGGTGACCACTTGGGAATACCACATGTTGTAAAGTTGGATGTACAGGTGGCGTAATGGATGACTTGGAATTTTAATTGGAGATCTGAGTTCCAATTCCATTTGGGTTTGTTATATATGCTTATGCACAAATACCCTTGGAGCAGGTATAAATCCACCTCTTCTCCTCACAGCTATGGGTTAATTAGTAAGACTTGCATCACTAAACCATTGTTACCTTGCCCCCCTACACAATTTTTTTTATCTAAAAATAGTTTCTGGCTTTAAATAATCTTGCAAGCTGTAGAAAATGAGTGAAAAAATCAATCAATTATGTGCTCTCCCCAAGAAAGTGTAGCTAATGCCTGCTCAATATTATTACAGTAAAAACCACAGATTTGCTCTGTAGATTTTGAAGAAACCCAAATCTGCCTGAGCAGGAATCTGAAATAGGGATTAGTTAGCCATGCCAGTTAACCACATAGTTTCTCACGAGTTCTCTTTGACTTCTTAGCAGTCAATGTTATGTTTACAACAGGCATCTCCATGTCTGTAGTTCTTTTTCTTCTTCTATGTGCTGTCTCCCTTCAGGATGATGGTGATCATGGCTCTCCACCATTTCCTGTCTTTTTGTTATCCTCTAAACCTCGTTCTGTCATCCATTTACTCACTAGGTAGGGTACACATTGTTTTTCTCTGCCCCTTCAATATGTTCTGTGAGTATCAAGTTTTTCAAGCCCTCTTTCCTCATTTATGTGCCCGAGAAATTTCAGCTGTTTATTTCTGCAGTAGAAGGGTCCTTTTTGTTACAATTGCAAGGAAAATATAGTAAAAAGGTTAATAGCAGTACCTTGTCAACTGTCTTCAAGGAAACCTATATAAAAGAGGGATTACTGTCCAAATACACAATTATATATATATATATATATATATATAATATTAGTGGTCAATATATATATATATATATATGTATAATATTAGTGGTCAATATATATATATATATATATATATTTTAAGCATTACGCCCCGAGCAAGGCGTGAAGCCACTAGGATGCAGGTTTGCAGAAGGTTTGGAGCGAGAGCAAATAGGAGTGATAGAAGAAAGGATGAGGTGAAGGATAGTGGGTAGATCAAGGTAACTGGAGGTGTCGATTGAAATTACATTTGAATAGTTGGAGATTATAGCTTTCAGGGAAACAGTAATTAGGAAGGGTGTTCCACAGGCAAGAGGTGCAAGGTATGAAGCTATTGGAGTAGAAGAGATGGCTACATTTAAAAGTTTCTACAGTGTAAGTTTGGGAGCGGGATGCCAGCCTCGTAGAGTGCTTGAATTCATGGAGTCTGGGAACCAGTGAAAGTAGCTCATCAGAGCAATTACCATGAAAGTATTTGTAGAAAAGACAGAGAGGTGATGACACGTCTGTGAGAGAGTGACTGTAGATGAGACGCCAGATCAGGGCCAATTATATTACATATCCGTCTCTGGATATATATATATATATATATATATATATATATATATATATATATAAATTCCCAAGAAGATAGAATCCAGGTAGAACTCAATATCCAGGACAGAGTGAGAATATAATATGAAAGGCTCAAACACTAATGTTACATGGTTATAATTTATTACATTGGAATCATAATCATCATACCTACGAATTCAAAAAGCTTTTTTTAATACTAGTGTTTGATCCTTTTATATTATATATATATATATATATATATATATATATATATATATATATGACAAAGTAGAAAAAGTTTTGATGTGATATGTTTCCATTAGAACTTCGTCAGACTGATGTGACTACACATGTGCACAAGGGAGAGTAGAGTGACCAATGTAATTATTTAAATAATTATATCGGTCATACTACTACATGAATATCCAGATGACTTACATTACACCTATCCAACCACAGCCCCATTAGAACCCATTTAAACACACATGCAAACTTACCAGACTCCATCTGAAACATACTACTAGAAAATACAAGCATAATGACTTCATCAACATGTAAAAAAAGATTAAAAATAATGGAAGCCTTAATAATAAAAAAGAAAAAGCCAACACTCAGTAATATTAATTACAAACACAGCCACAATGTACTGTGTTCGGAAAATAAAACATCCTTATAACTCTAGATAATTACACACAACTCATACATTCAGTTAAAAAGTAAAAATAAAATCATCCTTGATAATGGCTAAAAGTATAGCTGAAAGCACTCAGAATTACAGAACATTTGCAGAGTTTTTACACACTCTGTGTCCAGAAAAGAAAACATTTTTTTGAACACAAGAAAAATGAAATAAAATGCTTAATCACAGTACCTTGTCTGTCATTTTTAATGAAACACACACACACATATATATATACATATACATATATATATAAATATATATATATATAAATATATATATATATATATATATATATATATATATATATATAAAAAAAAATCAGACTGTAAGTTCAGAACCAACGTTGCATATTCAACTGACCTCCTGATTTTTTAAAGTTAAAAGCTGTACATGTTTTAATTTATTTTGTCACATGTGTATTGAGCACTTTTTAATACTACTGTTTGCTGGTCTGATTCAACTCTGACCATTAACCTTTTATGTATACATATATATATATATATATATATATATATATATATATACACATACATGGGGGACAATATCTGCAGAAGATATGATCATAATAGTCTCATCCACATGCAATAAAAGGTTGAAAATAATGTAAGCATTAATAATATAAAAGAAAAATCAACACTCAAAAATATCAACAATGAACATGGCCACATTGTATGTTTGGAAAAAAACAAAACAAAAAAAAAACATTCCCATCACTATAGATGCACACATAAAAATCTACATATTCAGTTAAAATTTAAAAAATAATCCTTGATAATTGCTAATAGAATGAGCAAACGTGCTTGAATATATAGAACATTGACAAGTTTTTACAAAAGCTTATCCAGCTGATAGTATTTTCAGCCCCTTTCTATGGAAACACAGTTGCATTGCCTCAAGTCTATTCTTATGTGAGGTGATTCTATACATATGAATAAGAGAAATACAAAAGATCTTATGAAATAAATCACTATAACATCCCTGTGCCTTTTCTATGAAGACTTTCATGGTAATTGTTCTGATGAGCTTTACTATTGGTACCTAGACTTTATGAATTTAAGTGCTGTACTAGATATGCAACAAAGTCTCACCGATTCCCAGTTGAATTGGTTAGATGTAATCCTAAGTTCTTTCTTAACAATTTCTTTTCTTACATTTCTTACTTGCGGAACTCTCTTTTGGCTTCATGCTTTCCAGCCAGCTTTGATCTTTAAAAATTTAAATGCAATGTCAAGTGTCATCTACTGTCTGCTTGATTCTTCTTTTATTCTTCTTGCTCCTTAATGACATTTTTCTTTTTCTTTCTCACTCAGTAACCCTTTGTGTCTTAGTGAATTTACTCCCTTGCTTGGGATATAATACAAATATGTGCAGAGAAAAAAAAATTGTTTCTACTTAAATACAAGTATTTACTATGCCCAACCCAATTTTTATGTTTGTCACCTCATCTGCAATTATTTTTTTTTTTAAAACCTTTTAAATATTTTATGGATCCAATATGTGTTACACACACACACACACACATATATATATATATATATATATAAAATAAATCCTAAACAGCACCTACCTAGGTTTCACGTAAATGGATTGTCAGGGTAATTTTATTCCAACTCTACTTAGCGTATTGAGCACTCTACTTTTTAGCTTTGTTACTCACTTGGCTTTTTTTCTTTGGACTAAAAACTTAAGGCAATGGATGATTTGTTTTGCCCTGTTTGGATGTTTCTAGTTCTTTCTTTTTTTGTTCCAATTTTTTCCTTGGGTACCAATTTGTTTTGATCTACTTGCAAGTTATGCTATCCAAGGTTTTTTTACCAACCGAGTACTACTATTAGTATTATAATACTTTTCAGAAGCCATTGATGCTTGTGCTAGCTCAAAGTTGCAAGTCATCGTGACCAAAAGTTTGAGCATATTGGCCTTGTTCACTATCTCCCAGAAACTCTAAGATCTGCTTAGCATACTTGCAGTATATACAATAAGTTGGTTCTGTGGGTGTTGAAAAAAAATCATAAATCTGCCTATACAGGAATTTGCAACAGGGATTGCATAGCTACTCTAGCAGATATGTGTACTCTTAAATGAGCTGTCAGTCTGTATTTGCAAAAGAATTGGCCACAGGGTATTTTTGAAAATAGTAATTTCTATTATTAATGCTAATCTAAAACTTAAGTTAAATGCAATAAATATTTAGGATATCCTATGTATAAAAATAAATAAATAAATGTCTGTATGTATATAAATTTATTGATAAATAAAATTTTTTGGATGAGTATCAATAAACAATATTGGATGGCATATCAGTGATTTGATATAATGGCTGACAGATGTTTGGAATAATTTGAGGTAAGCTTCTTGTGGAAATTAACACTAGTTTTATTCCACTCCTGTTGACAAATCTCCTTAAGATCACTCAGATTTGGGGGATTCATTTGATGAACTTTTAAGCTCCTTCCAAATATTATGTATCAGACTTACTAGGCCAATCTAAAAACTTCACTTTTTTTCCTCTATGTTATGGGACCTTACCCATAATAACATAATGGACTATTCCATACATAATAAATACTGCGTGTCAAGATGAAGCAGGGAGTTCAGTCTGAAGTCTGGAGTGAAGTCCGTCAGGAGTCAATTAGTCGAGTCAGAGGACGTCCGAAACAGAATCACGTTCAGACAATTACTACTAAACCTGATTGTTCGTACTAACACTTTCTACTTCTCTGTATATATTCCTGTTTGTAATATATCTGTGTTATTCCATATCTGTGTTCGAGTTCTTCTTTATTGGTTCTGCCTTGGACTATCACTGTGGTACAAGGAACCAGACCATAACACTCTATATGATGCATACAAGAATAAAAAAATAATATTCATGCAAAGATCTTTGGGATACAATAAAAACTGTAACAGCTGAAAAAGTAGGAAAAAAAATGATGAAAATCAAGGATTAAAAAAACTGATGAAGGATGTCACAAAGCATAGATTAATATATGAAATAATTTATTAAAATTCTGCTATATAGGATGCTGCCCTCATCAAACATATGTCTATGGCCAAGATCCTCAATTTATTTATGAATAAAAAAATTTTTATTGCTTGTAGTTTAGGTAATAAAATCTTCCCCCTGCCCATAAAGAAGTTATTAATATTCTTAATAAGGATAGATATTATAAATAGTGTGAATCAGGATTCATTAATGGTAGACAATATAAGATATGTATATGACAAAGTGTTGATAGCAGACATAGAAAGGAAACTACAAGACCTCCCACAAAAGGTATTAAAAGAAAGCAGGTAGAAAGAACTAAACATTAATTGTAAGAAGATATAGTGTATGGTTGTCAGAAAAGGAACAGGCCAACATACAAATTACAAATTGGAGATACCAAAATCAAGCAAATACAAAAATTTAAATATCTGCAAAGAGGGATGGACAGAGGGGAGTAGGTTAAGAAAAAACACAAAACTGGAATTGAACTTGGTATGCCAAATCTACTAATCCTGCTGATAACTAATACACTATCTATGCTTACACAAATGCACATAAAAGACTGTATTTACTGTATATACTTGTATATCATGACTTTTGGAAACCTAATTTTGAAGCCAATTTTAATGGGGTCATATCATACATATAAAACGAGCATATGTACTGTTGGCCCTAACTATCAGGTCATCCCATAAGTTCTGTCGGAATTTTGAATAAAGAAAACAAGTGACCAAATGTTACATTTAATTACAGATTCAATCAACAATGTATTTTCCCTGATTATCTATGACTTCCTTCCATCTATTAACAAGCTTACTAATTCCATTACTGTAAAATTCTTTTGGCTTTGATTCGAAGAACTCACAAATGTCAGTTTTAACCTCTTCCTGTATTACAAAAGCAGTTTCTTCCAAATGATTCTGTAAGCTACGAAACAAATGGTAGTCTGAAGGAACAAGATCAGGAGAATAAGGTGGATGAGGAATTTTCTCCCAACCAAGTTCTTCGATCTTTTGTGACATGATTCTTGCTGTGTGGGTCGCTCATTGTCCTGATGAAACATCACCTCTTTTTGATTCACTAGAGCAGGTCTTTTTTCCTAAAAGCTTGGTTCAAATGCTCTAATTGCTGACACTATATTTGAGCATTAATTGTTGCATTAGGTGGTAAGAATTCAAAGTGGATTATTCCTTGGCAATCCCACCAGATTGAAAGATGAACCTTTTGTCCATGAAGTTCCCTTCTCAGCTGTGGCTGGGGTCCTTCCCCTTTACCAAGCCACTGTCTATGATGCTTAACATTTTGATAAAAGATCCATTTTTCATCGCCAGTCACAAGTCTATCCAAAAAAGGTGAAACAAGTTGGCGAGAATGGAGAGAAGAGCAGATGTCAACTCGGGATTTGAGGTTGTTTTCAGACAATTCATGAGGCACCCATTTTCAAAGTTTAGGAACTTTTCCAAGTTGTTGAAGATGACGATGAACAGTTGTATGGTTTGAACTGAGAACCACTGCCAATTCCTCAACTGATAAAGCAGGATTTTCTTCAAGGGCTGCTTCAAGAAGCTTTTCATCAAACTCAACTGGACGTCCGGTTCGATCTTCATCTTCAAGGGTGAAATCTCCACCTCTGAATTTTACAAACCATCTTCTGCAAGTTCTTTCATTCACACATTCCTCTCCATAAACTGAGTGAATGTTTCTAGCCGCTTCGGCTGCTGAGTTTCCTTTCTTGAACTCATAAAGCATTATGTGCCTCAAATGATTCTTGGGTACTTCCATGTTAGCAGGGTTTTAATCAAACAAAATTTAATTTTATTGTTCTCTGAAATAAAATTTGATCAGTTTAAATGCATCTAAACATAAAAATAATGTTTAGCTCCATTAGACATTATAAAATACTCTTCAAATTTAAAAAAAAGGTAAAATTCGAACAGAACTTATGGTATGACCTGATATATGACCAAACTATATAAATCCAGTTACTTTAGTCAAAAAGTACAGCAGTATTTAAAATAAACATGATTCTGATAAAACTGATGTTTTACTTAACTGTATCCAATAATAATGCATGCAATATTCACATATTAGTATTGTATTATAAAATACGAACATATTGAATATGCACCTGTAACATTGTTTATGTTTATAAGACGTTTAGCTGTTTCTTGTTCAGTTTTTTATGGCTGTACACATTTATGTAATAAGTATATAGCATTACTAATGATACTTTTAACATTCTTTTTTACTTTTTAACTAGAAGATGGGATAAAGAGATGAAGGAAAAGAGGTTAGTCTATTGTAATTTGGTCTCTCAAAAAAGGGAATTGCATGATTCACAAGATACAATTTGGGGTTACACAAGTATATACGGTCTATCATAATTCTAAAAAGGTAGATAGTAGCACATGGCATTAATAGCTATCTTTGCAAGTACAATTACCTACATTTGTTTTTTTATAAGTAATCAATGTAAATCATAATAGCATTTTATTATGATTAGATTCTCAATCTGCTTCCTCATAACCAAACTTCTCTAACATTCAAACAAAAACGACACCTGTTACTATATTGCTAGCAAAGTTAAAGTATATCTAGTTCTACATATGTTGACAAAAAAGTTTCAATTATATCAAATAACTGTATTTCTACAGTCTTGCAAATATACATAACATAAAGCTAAATAAATCGGATACCATATCTCCATTGATGACTTTCTTTTTAACATCTTTCTAGTAGTTTCTAGTTTCCTTATCATTAATATCACTAACAGAGGAGGCATGGCAGAGTAATAGATAGTGGCTTGGATTGAGGAATCGGAGAGCCAAGTTCAAATTCCATTTGAATCCATTACATTCACTTACGTGCTGATACCCTTGGGAAAGGTATGAATCCTCTTCTTATCCCCCCAGCTATGGGTAAATAGCAGGACGGACCAGGTTCTATAGCCTTGGGTGACAACTGGTCTACCACAGAAAGAAATGACAACCTACTACAGGAAAAAAAATCTGCCTCGTCACTCATGTATTGAAAGATGCATGATCGCCTAAGCATGTATCATGCATGGCACATAACTGACTGAATATCACTAATACTTAAAAAATATATATCTTTATTAATATTTTTGTATATTTAAATTTAATAAATAATAAATTTAAGGCCACTGATGAGAAGATTCAGTAAGCTTGAGAGATGTTAATGACAAACCGGTGTATCAAAAGGACATTTTCCCCTTGACATTACTTTCCATGTGATTCCTCAGTAATTATTATTGTCTTCAGAAGTTATCGGTAGTTGTGCTAGCCCAAAGTTACAAGTCATCATGACTGAGAGTTTGAGTGCACTGGCCTTGTTCATAAAAGTGATCATACCAGATTATACACTCTCTCCCAGAAACTGTAACTAAGATCTGCTCAGCATAGTTGCAGTATGAACCATATTTTTTATATTTAATGACTTATGGCCACATCACATTGAAACACTGGTTACCATACGATCACCAAAGTTAAGCAATGTCAAGCCTGGTTAGTACCTAGATGGGTGACCGCTTGGGAATACCAGGTGTGGTAAGCTTAAATGTGCTGGTGGTTTAATGGATAATGGCTTGGAATTGTTAATCAGAGAGCTGAGTTACAATTCTTGTTGGCTTTGTCATGTTCACTTATGCGGAAATACCCTTGGAAAAGGGATGAATCCACCTCTTCTCCCTCCAGCTATGGGTTAATTAGTAAGAATTGTAACACTTAATCATTATTATCTCAAAAATAAAATGTTATAATCTAAAAATATTTTCTGGCCTTAATCTATGAGAGATTTATAAGCTGAAGAAAATGAATCAGTAAACGTGATGTTTAAATTTAATATTAACAAATAACAAATTCAAGGCAAAGTTTAACTTTAGACCAGGCAGGAAAATGGTGTGTCAAAACAATGTTTTTGTCCTTGACACTGTTATTACTCAGTATTCTTTATTGTCAAATGGAGTAAATCAAAAATTATCCACATTGTTGCTACTACACATACTTAGGTTTGTGCACACTGCCTTCTGATTCTGTGCCAGTTTTATTCCTGCTGTTACAGTATAAACATGGCTGCTCTGCTAGCAGTGTGCACCAAAGAGGAACAAAGAGCAGTGATCTGATTTTTCTGGTTGGAAAGTGTATCAGGAGCTGAAATTCATCAGTGTCTTTTAACACTATGCAGCAGCATTGTAATACCATGTAAAAGTGTGTATGAGGGGGGCTCAAGAAGGCTAAAAGTGGCTGGACAAGCATGACACAAAAAAGGAGGAGCAGGATGTCCATCAATTTCCACAACTGATGAAAAAGATTCAGCAAGCTCAAAAGATGTTAATGGCAAACTGGTGAGTTATCATTGATGAGGTAGCATGTTCTCTGCAGATTCAGATCACTACTCTTTGTTTCTCTTTAGTGCACACTGCTAGTGAAGCAGCCATGTTTACACTGTAACAGCAGCAAGAGAAATGGCATGATCAAGCTCAAACTTTGATCATGTGACCACAATAGTACCAACTATAAAGAGGAGGCAGTGTGACAAACCTAAAGATATGTTAAGATGAAAGTGCTGATAATTTTGGACTTACCCTCATATTTTTAGAATCTATACTTCCATGGTAATTGTTCAAATGAGCTCTTCACTCTGGCACCTAGAATTTTGAATTCATCAATTTACAATTGAGTCGGCTGGATGTAACCATAAATTTTATGCTAAAAGTTTCTTTTCTCACACTTCTCGTTTGTAAAACTCTCTTCTGGTCCATGCTTTCCAACCAATTTCAATCTTCAAAAATTTAAATGCAATGTCAATCGCTATCTACTGTCCTTCTGATTACTCTTCTTTTGTTCCTTTCCCTTAGTAATGTTTCTAATTCTTCCATGCCCAGTAACTCCTTGCCTTGATTAGGGGTTAACCCAATTAAAAAATTAAAAACAAAAAAAAAAAACACAACATATAGAATGGAATTATATATATATATATATATATATATATATATATATATTTTTTTTTTTTTTGCTGTAAATAACCATAACTACCTCAGATTGCTTCTTATTTTAATTTTCCAACACGGAACACTATTCTGCACATAAACATTGGTTGAAACTTTCATTGCTTTGTGCTTATGGTAAAATGATTTTATTTATGGCCTTGTCATAAATATCTATAATAAAACAGTAGTAAATGAAATATGTGTTTCATTAGGACTTAAATACAATATTTCTTTTTCTGAAAAAAACCAAGTCCTCCAAAAATCAATACTAGACAAACACCCATGTTTGATATATTCATCTGATGATGACCTCAAAATGAAATATACGAGAATATAATTGATTAAATGATGACTACAAATCAACATGATGTTAAAATATATTAAAAAAATGACAGTACTAGACTAACACCTAATGACCTGTTTGACGAACTAATCTTCTGGTGACATTAAAATGGAAAAAAAAACATGATAATAAATGATAAGAAATCAAAATAATATTAAAATATATAAAAAAAAAATTAAATGCAATTACCGATGAATGACTTTAATATTATTAACTTTTTCCTAAATATTCCTTATGCATCTCTGATTTATGAATTTACCATTTCTCCTGTGTTTAGAACTGGAGCATTATTTGCTTAGAAATACTTTTAAATAATCAGAACTAAATTTCTAATTAGTTACTTATTAAATACTTAAATGTAGGGCAAAAAATACAGCATATATCGTTAATGAAAATAATCTATAATATATATCATGCAAGAGTGCGGAATTTAAATAATTTACAACAAATTAAGTATCAGAGGTAATATTTCAGTTTTATTACTGAAATCTATTTGCAGTTCAAACTGTGAATATATAGGTATGCGTTTTTATTTTTAGTATATTTAATACATGCATATATAGTTATACTTTGGTTTTTGAAAAAATCGACTTTGCTAATAAATAAATATAATAATGATGATGAAAATATCTCCATAATTTAATAATAACAATAATGCCTGTATTTAATATTTACCAACCCAAAATTGAATAGCACTTACATAGATCTGTCTATATTTCTGAGATGAGGTATTGTAACTTTTACCCTATTTACATTGTTCAGACTGTTATCCACATCTTTATTGTCATATTCATGACATTTCGGCTATTGTATGCTTCGTCCTTCTTCAGGTGATATACATTAGAATTTTCATCTGAACCTTTTATTTAGCTCATGATACTAAAGGGAATCAACTGAAACTGAGATATCCAGAAAAGCATAGCACATAGGACTGGAACAATCTACCCTCATGGACTAAATAAAGGGTTCGGTTCAAAATTCTAATGTGTATCATCTGAAGAAGGTCAGAGTGTACAATGGCTGAAATGTCATAAATATGACAATAAAGATGAGGTTAACACTCTGAACAATGTAAATAATCTAAATACTTAGATATCTAATAAATCATGCTGATAATAATGATAGGGATACAATAGTAATCAAACTGAATATTAATTAATTTTCATGTTTATAAGATAGATTTTTTATTAGCAATAATTATAAAAAGAACTGCTTTTTCACATTTTATAAAGAACTTTTTTTAAAGTAATGACTATATTTAAAAAAAAAGTAATTAATCAATTAGAAATTTTGTTTTGATTATTTAAATGTATTTCTCAACAATGTATCAATAATGCTGCGGTCTTAAACAAAACCTTGTATATGTCATATATGGGTTAATACCTTAATGGTGTTTTCTTTTTACAGTTTTTTTTTTAGGTATTGCAGTCTGCCTTTGTAGTAGTAGTAATGGAGAGAGTATTTATGTGTTGGAAGGAGAAGCTAATCAGAACATTCAAGAAATATGTATAAGAGTGACTAAAAGTTCATGAAATGCATAAACAAGGGTTAGTTCAGTTGTTATCAAATGTTTTTTTGTATATAATCTTCTGTAACTAAAGAAGAAAATACCGGAAAGTGTCTCATTAGAAAGTTAAAAGGAAAAGAAAAAAAAATGTTTAAACAGGATTCGATAAATAAAATGTGTTAATAAAAATCAGTTAATAAATTAGTGTTGATTTACTTAAAAATTCTTCAATTTCCGGTGATACGAAGATAGAAAAAAAAAACAACAACAACACATAAAAGGGATTACTAAAAATGGTAATAAGCGGATCATTTCTTTTCAGACATAAAAATACACGATTAAACCATCCTCATTCTGTTTGTATTGTTTTGGTTAAAAAGAAGGTCCATTTGAACAGCTTCTCAAGAATCGCTACTTTGTGAGACAGACTCCTGAGAAAAGCTTAACCTCTTCAAGTCTCAAGTCAATCGCTATCCACTTTCACAAGCATCTACTTTGAGTGGCTCTTGGGCCTTGTACTGAGTGAGCAATAGAAAGTTTTGTTTAAATAACTAAACCTCATTCTTAGCATTGCTGGAATGAATTGATACAGCTGATATGTCAACAAGTATGCTTTTGTTTTGTTTTCATTTTTTGGAGGAATAAGTGCAATCCCCCCCCCCGACACACACACATGTTTCTTGTGGATTATACACTAGACAGAGATGGAAGACAGGGTCATTGAAAACATTGTATTAACAACTTTAAGAACAACAAGGAAGGTGTTCAATTGTCTGAACAGAATTTTGAAACAAAAAGAAAATTTGGAAAACCTAATTTTAAAAATAAATGCAGACAAGAAACTGATTCAAACATTTTATCATTTTTTTTTCCTAATTATGTTTCCTTCTGGTTCCATGCAAACATATCAGAGGTGAAAAAAATATGGCAAAGAGAGCATAAAAAATTATCAACCTAAATATATATATATATATATATATATATACACATATATATATATACACTAGTCTTGTTACCTTCTAATCCCCACACCAGGGATAGAATCCATATTGTATATTGGTCCAGTCGGGATTGCAGATGCATCATCTATATCTACCAACTGCTGTTACCCCATGTGCTGTGTGCACGATGACGACAACTCTTGCTTTGCTGTTTAAACAGTGGACGGGAGGGGCTGAGTGAACAGGAGGGTAAAAATAAACTTTTCTTTTTTGTTTTCCCACTGTTTCAGCCATGGCTGGACGTTTGTTTTTGTTGACCATCGATCTGAGTTAAGCCGCCCCAAGCATACGAAGAGGGAGAATTAATTTGCCTTCACTTCAACTTGAAATATTAATGAATAATTGTTTCCTTTCATGTCTTAAGTAATGGGAACAAGGCTTCATAAATTTAGTGAAACTTCACCGATCCAAAATTATTCATATTTGTAAAAGAAAAAATATATACCGAAGGAAAAATAGAAACATTTACTTTTTTTCAGAAACACCTGGTTTTCGAAAAATTATTTTTGTAGTTTGTCATCTTTACAAAAATGTGCTGCTGTTGAGTATAAAACCATTTCTTTTATGTGCCATGTCCACTCACGACGTTAGTGATCATGGCTCTCCACAACTTCCTATACTTTGTTAATTCTTCACAATATTTGACTCTTTATCATATCTCTCAGGTTCCACACTGCCATCCCTTCAAATGATTTCATTAGGCAGTTTACTG